AAAAAAAAAAAAACAAGAACAAAAAACAACAAAACACCACCACACAACCCCCCCCCCCCCCCCCCCCCCCACACACATTGCTACCAAAAACCCACCACAGTCACCGAAACACCAAGTGTTTGTATTATTGTTTCAATGAGCGAACCAACATTATCCTTATTTTTTAGCGAACTTACTTTGTCTGCTGCAACAACCATTTATAGCACGACAGTGCAGTTCCAGCGATTAGCAATGACATAACTCTAGCTGGACGATGATCTCCTAAAAAAAGTGGTTTATTAGTTTGAATTTGTTATTTTTTTTAGTTTTACATATTTTTAGGTTATTTACAATCTTTTTTTGTACGTTCTAGAATATGAGAACCTAAGATTGATTCAAACTAAGTGGTCATTTGTGAACAAGGATGAACTAAGATTGGTTCAAACTAAGTGGTCCTTTGTGAACAAGGATGAGTTCATCTATTTCTGGTGTTTATTTTTTTCAAAAATTGCAAAAAATTTCGAAAGAACCAAGGAGCCCTTTTGATCAAGAGTCAAGCCTTTTGTTTTTTTGGCACATTTGATAATGGTTTGCATCAAAAGAAAGTAAAAATGACAAGAGTCACTGTGAGGTGTACGCACGATGTTTAATGAGTTCTCCATACTATTATTCAAGGTTCTTTAGGTTGTAATGTTTATGTTTTTAAATATTATTTTTTCTCTAAAAAATTTCAAATCTTGACTTCCATTTAATGCTTTGTGCACATTCATAAATTTTGCAAGTTATACATTATTCCTGTTGTATACTGAAATTCAACTTAATTTGTTGTCAATATGTCTTATAGTTCATTTGATTTGTTGCCAATTTGATACATTATTTGGCTTAGATTGTAGTTAAAAGTAAACTCACCTTCTCGAAGTAGTACTGATGGTTGCTGAAAGTATGTTTTAGGTTTGAAAGTGATAATGATGGTGGTCTTAGTGATGATAGTTAATTTCAAAGTTGTGATGGATGGGTGGTGGTGGGGTAAAACTCTTGGGACAAATTTGTGTAATATAAAATTAACTTAGTTGATGAAATTTGGTTTGAATTGAATAACAAAATTAATTTAAATAGTTGACTTGGTTAGATTTAATTTTAATTTGAGCACAAAATTTGATTAGTGATCAAATTGTAGGCTAAGTGGTAATAATGGTAATGGTGGTATTAGTGGTAATAGTTCTGTATATTTGTGTTTTTAGAGGATTTTGCTTGAATTTTTTATGGAACTCAAATTTTATGTATTCAGTTTCTCAATTTGATAATGTCAGCGTAGTTAGATTTAATCATGAAAATTTGATCAAGACCAGTTTTCATTGATGACATGCTATCTCTCCACGAATATATTTAAGTATGATATATGAAAAATATCTTTACTTGATAAGGTTTGCACATCTTCATATTTTTATAGGGTCTTATTTTTAGAGAGAATTTAGCCGTAATTGTTTGAAAGAATAAAAAAAATATTATATTTAGAGGCACGAGCATTTTCTAAACTATCAACATATTATGAGGACAAAAAGTGTAATTTAACCCGATAAAGTGTTAAAAATTTAGTTTTAATTGATTTATGTTTTGTTGATGTTGTTTATTATATTTTTTGTTATAATCCATCTCTTAATCCCCTTTTCTTGTTTTCTATTTCATATTTATTTGATTGTTTTCATATTACAATGATTTTTGAATTTACTATCATTTGGATGTTAATCAATAACTAAACGGTCATTGAACAATGTTTGAGATGATTTTAATTTGTATTCTATCAATTTTCTTTTAAAAAAATAATGGGCCCATATTATATTTATCAATGTTTTTTCTTACTTTTTCTAATTGATAATTTTTTATAGCGTATAATCTCTTAATGCACAAATATTTGCTTTTGATTTTTTTATTTGTTATATAGTGTATTCAGATGCGGACAATTGCTAGTAATACAATATGTAATGGCGAGATTTGGTAATAATACAAGATGATTTGATTGAGACCTTTACTATAAAGAATTAGATGACTAACTGTTTTTTTGCTAGCACGTAGATGACTAACTTGGTTTGGAATATTTAATGAAATGATAGGGGTAAAGTTGAGTGAATGAAAAATGGGCAGGAAAGAAAGTGTTAAGCTCCTAATCGGAGGAGAAATTTAGGGGTGTAATTTGAGTGGGCCAACTTGAACTCAATTAGAAAAAGATAGTATTAGCATTGAAGTTTTTAGGGATAGGGTTAAAAAGTTTCGATCCGAATTAGATTCGAGCAAGGCTCGGGTTTACGGGTTTAGCCCGAACTCAACCCAAATTAATGAAATTGGGCTCAACTCGAATTCATATATTATATTTTATATAAATAATATATAAAAATAAGATATTAATACATATTTTGTAATTATTATTATTTAAAGAAGGAGTTAAACATGATTTATAAGAATTATAAATGGTGAAAAAAGTTTGCACAACTGATGTAAGATAAATAAAAAAAATAAAAGAACGGCATGAAGTTCTTATCTCACATCGGATAAACAACTCAATGACCTCTCTTTTTAGGCAAGGCTCGAGTCAAAAGCTCGGGTTCATGAGTTTAACTCAAATTCAACCCGAATTAATGAAATTGGGTTCAATATGAACCCAACTCAAGTTCAACCCTAATTTAAGATTATTGTTTGTTGAGCCTAAATTGAGTAATTCAATTTCAACACGAACTTACGTGAAATAAACTCAGACAATACTCAAGTTGAATATCTCAGGTTGAAGTCGGACTAGGGTTATGGTTAAGGTTAAAGATTTTATACTTAAGATAAGAATAAGGTTGATTTCTCAACCCGCCCAAGTTACACCCCTAATGTGAGATTTGGCCGGAGATTTTATCATCCCATTTTGTCTTGCGAAGATCTTTATAATTATAATTGTTTAAGCAAATACAGAACAAAGTTTTGCATCTCTTCTCAATAGAAACACAAAATAAGTAATACTTAACATAGCTTTAACACAGTGTACAGTTCACACACATGCAAAACACCGCCTCATCCTATGAGGTCAATGCCTTGGAGGATCAGTGAATCGGCAAGAACCTGATTAGCAGCCTCAGAGGGATGGACACTATCCCAAAACACAAACTGAGTTGCGTTGCTACAAGGTCCTGGTGACTTAGGATTGCGCAAGAATATTGTTCTCTACTGTCCCTGTTCCACAGCAGCCTTTCTTTGCTTCTGTAAAACCTACAAAAAAACAGTACCGAGAGAAATTAATCCTTATATGCAGTGCTAGTATCGCCTTATCATCTGTATAATTCTTTTATAAAGAAGAAAAGAAACTGGTTTAGTACCATAATTTGAAGGTGTTCGAATGATGTCGTAGAGAGGCTTGAAAATGTCGAAGATGACAAGTTTGAGGCCGGGAAGTTGCTTCTGGAGTTTAGTTGCAGCTGAATTGATCTTCTTATTGAATCCTTGGGCATCAGTGTTTATCCTAGAGACACTCCAATGGTGGGAGAGATGTCACCCCAATTCTCCTGGCTCCCAACCCATACAAGTCCTGTTTATGGAACAAGGTAATGTAACAACTTCATTTACCCTAGATGAAGATACTTTTAAGTCCTGAAATGTTAAGTGGTATGAATCAATCCTCGTTCTATTTTTCATCTTCGTACAGAGACTTAGAATGAACCGAATTATCTTTGTATCACTCAGACTAATTTGAGATACATGTTATTGAAGCTGCTGTCAGCCGCGTGGAATCTGAACCAAGGTCAAGATTTGATGTCCCTGCTGGTGACATCCTTAAGAGTTTTTCAGGTTGATTATCCAATTCAAGGAAATTATGACAAGATATATTGATTTCACTGCCCCAAAAATTACCGGCGGCACTAACACTAGTAAAGTTAGGGCTGTTAAATAATATGAGCAACTTGAGTTCAACACAGTTTTGGCTCACTAAGATTTCTAAGCTCATATTATAGACAAGCCGATTCCGAGCAACATATAGCTCAACATGAATAGGTTTATGTTTCTAGATAGTCCCCATTTTATGGTCAAAGATCCGTTATTTAAAAAGATCAACAATCTAAACTTATCCCCAAATAATTTGAAATCATATACAATTCCATATCCCTCTGGTCCCTTGTAGGTTTTTGAAAAATTTACACTCCTAGACTTTGATTTGATTAAGTTTCAGGGTTGGATATTTGTAAACTATGGTGACACATTTTGCTCCGTTTCGGCTCGAATGCTCCTAAACTTCACTATTAGTCGAGCTTGAGCAAACTCGATCTCCACAAGTTCAGCTGGATTAAAATCCCTATGCAAAGTACCTTAATGAAGCTTGAAAATATGCCGACGAGATACGAAGAGTACTTATCGGCAGTGTAGACTCTATTCAGCCAAGGATTGACATAATAATTCTGCAGAAATTCGCTGCTACCAGTACCCAATATATAAAATGCATCCTCGAGTATGGAAATCGCTTTTTCACTGCCTGCAACGTTTGCTAGCTTAGCTTGGTACTCCTTGTAATACTGCAGCTGTTGTGACAATGGAATTGCATGCTGCAACAAATTTCAATTACAGTGATGGAAAAAAAGAAAAGAGAAATAAGTAGCAAACTTCGTTCGATTCGTGACAGGGAACGATTTGGAGTAAGAATTATAGGTGAGATTTAATGTTTATTTGCCTTCTCCTATGTCGTTCTTGGCAGATAAGATGGAGTTCTTGCATTCAAGATGGCTGTTTTGTCATCGTAGCCTGATGCAGCAGAAGCAAAGTTGGCTCCAATGAGAAAGTTCTTCCCAGATGCCTGTGGGCTAAGATATGCTGGCGGGTAAGTAGTAAACCCCAGATCATCAGCTGCACATAAAGATAAAATTGGTGATAAATGTAAATGAGCAAAGCCGAAGCAGGGAGTGTCTAAGTGCTGCACGGGATCTTGAAAGGTGTAGCATTGAGTTAACTAGCGAATCTGAATTGTTTGCTGGATGGACTGGTTGAATGTAAATCATTAGATCTTGAACTTACCAGTGGTATCAGTGGCTAGTTTTCCATTGCAGAACCTTCCAGTGGCCTTCAGGTTCACGAAATCCAGGATGATTTGATTAAGACCTTTGTTATAAAGAATTAGATGACTAGCTTTTTTTTGATAGCACGTAGATGACTAACTTGGTTTGGAATATTTAATGAAGTGATAGGGGGAAAGTTGCCTGAATGAAAAAATGGGAATGAAAAATAGGGTGGAAAGAAAATGTTAAGCACCTAATCAGAGGAGAAATTTAAGGGTGTAATTTGGGTGGATTAACTTGAACTCAATTAGAAAAAGATAGTATTAAGATTGAAGTTTTTAGGGATAAGATTAAAAAGTTTTAATCCGAATTTGATTCGAGCAAGGCTCGAGTTATCGAGTTGAACACAAACTCAATCCAAATTAATGAAATTAGGCTCAAACCAAAATCATATATTATATTTATATAAATAAAATATCAATACATATTTTGTAATTATTATTATTTAAAGGAAGAGTTAAACATGATGGCTCAAACAGAGGAGAAGTTGAATTTTATCTCTACAAATATTTTCCTTTAAAACCATCTTATCACACTCATCCCCTCTCTCGTAACGTTACTTTGTTTCTCTCTCTCTCTCTTCCCCAGCACACCATCACACGTACACAAACACACGTATTCACAGACATAGACACAATTTTGCACACACAAACATACAATCTACCCCTTTCTCGCCATAGACGACGAAGCGCCACGTAATCACCGCCATAGCCATAGCGCCACAACCAAGGTATTGTCCTCCCTTTCCATCCTCTCTCTTCCCCATCCCCTGCTTCACTCACAGACACCCCTCCCCCATATTCTCTCCCCCAAACCCCCCACAAAGGCTCACCGTGATTGTTCTCTCTCTTAGTGCACCGTGATCCCCTGATGTTTTTGGTTTTTATGTAATTTTTTTTACAGGTCTGAAAATTTGGTTGTGGATAGGTTTCATGGGTTGTTTGGATTGAGGGGTTGTTGATAGAAAATTGCCGAAAATTTTTGGGTGTAACTGGCAATCCATCAGAGAGTATTATTAGACGAAAAAGAGTAGTGGTTATGTGAGTGTTTCAAATTTTGAATTTCCAACTCTATTTGTTTGCAATTTTGGTTTTTCAATTCTGTTTTTCAATTATTTTTCCATAGTTGGATTTTGATCAAATAGTAACCGAGTGAATGGTTGGATTTTTTTATTCAATTATTTTAGTTTGATATAATTTATAGCATAACATGTTTTAGATGAAATGTCTCCGAAAGGAGCATAACATGTGTTTGATGAAATGTCTCCAAAAGGAGCAGAACATGTGTTTGAAACGTGTTGCATGTGAATAGGTTAAATGCTAGCAGTTTAATAATGGTGGTCTAAGGATTAGTGAGCCATGATTATTGTATTTTTTTGCTTGAAATATATATGTGAAAATTCTGGGTAATATTATATAGGAGCAAGATCAATGTTGAACCTGAAGGAAACATCAAAGAGGTAGCCTTTTTCCACCTCCCCCGACGTAGGAATATTAGATGAACAGTTGCCGGAAAAGAAGCATCGTCTCACTCCTGAGCAGGTCAGTAGTGCTTGCCCACTTTATACGGTGGGTCATTCGATAATACGTGCCTAAGTATCATAACACACACCTTTCCTTTAAACAATCCTTAAAGAAAAACCATATCTAGCAATATTCATATTCACACGAACACTTCTTTTTTTATGCCTGAATAGAACCCATGCTGAATCAATAATGTGACTGTTAATTGTTTCAGTTATATGGTTATTAATACAAAAAATTATATCTAATGCATTTGTTATTAAGTGAATTTCTTTTATACCACAGTAGCAACAAAAAGGATGGGAATTTCTATTATTTTGGTATCAATGAATTGTCTACTCATTTTAATGATCATCTTAATTGTCCATGCATTTGAATTTGACATCTTAATTGTCCATTCATACTTCTGGAAGTTTTAGCTCAAGTGATCATGGGGAAAAATAAACACGACCTATTTGTCGTTATATAGGAGAAGAACGATTATTTTTTATTGGTGTGCTTTGTATATGATTGTTGTTTAAGGTGCACAAAATTAGTTTGGGCTGTGGACTTTAAAGATTTTGAGGTTCAAAGGCCAATGGAAATGCTTGATTTCAATCTCTTTGTTGTTTTGCCTCAATAAGTAATTTTAACCCCTGAGATTATGAAACAATGAGCATGATTTGTCTAAAATATGATAACTCACTTTTTTAACTTCACTGGTCAAAAGAGCTATAGGTTTTGAAAATTAAATTTTAGAACCAAACAACTAAAAAGTTTAACGAGAAAAAATAATAGTCATTTTTTATGTTCAATTGAGTTTTAGGTTAATCTCTGTGTCTACTATCAACAATTTGGAGTGTGCTCACAAGATGTTTGAAAACATTTATGAGAAGGATTTAATTTGTTGAAATGTGATGATAAACACCCTTTTTTTGCTTGCTCATTTCTATGTGTTTTCTTTTTCATTTCTTTGTCTAAAAAGACTAAAATTTAGGCCTTGGTTAAAATTTTTAAGCCTCCATTGATTTATGAGGTATTGACCTAATGGTTGTATAAGAGCTTACAAGGGGTTAGTGTTAATTGGTCTCAACTAGGCTTATTCAGTAGGTAGGGCTACCTATTTTCCGCCTTTCCTATTCATCTTCTTTTCTTTTTGTTTGCTATTTTATTTGGGTGAAATATGATTCTGAGTTATTTAGTAGAAATAGGTATTTATCTATCAAAATCGAGAGGTACTTCTTGCAAATGCTTGGTGAGGAAAATTCCTGTTGTTGGAGTATTTCTTTCCCATTTCCGGATTGTCACTATTGACAAATTTATGGCAGTTGCATCAAGTTCTTATGTGTAAAATCATTCAAATTTTACCTCAATTCCCTACTCCCACACTAACTAATAGTGGGTATGTGCTCCTGTCTTTTCATTCCTTGCGTGGCTAATTTATTCTCTCTCTTCATAGGTTTCAAGTGTCCCAGTTAACTATTTTTTTTTTGCTAAATATTTTATCACATAAGAATTATTCCTCTTTATAGGTTCTAGAGCTTAAACTAACTTTAGATAATTATTTTTGTTTGTCGCATAAAGAGGGTATTTATCTAATTTTTTTTAAACTTACTTAAACCATGTAATACTATCTCTTTCTATGAAATTATGTTACCTATTTAAGGTAAATAATTTCAGTGGATTTGAGGCTTATGACTCCTTGAATAATGAATGATGATATCTAGAGTGTTTTAGAATTTAGAGTCTGATTTATAGGATTAGTACTTTAGTGCTTTGGACTTAATTCTTTAGTTTAGAAATAATTTCCTAAAATAATAAAGTCGTAATATTATTACTTTTGTTGTTATAGAATGCCATGAACATTACTTTTGTTTTCGCCTATTCCTTTAAAGTCTATTGCGAATTTTTTTCGATTGTTTTGGTGTTGTTGAATTATAGTCTTTGTTTTTTTTTTTTTTTGTGTGGTTGGTAAAGCAGAATTAAAAACTGGTAACTTGGCTACTGATTATTATTGAATTTTTTATATTCTCTTGTGAGTTTTGTTTTTATTAGCATACTGTTATTGAGATTAATAATTGATAATTTTTCAGTATATGCAATTCAAATCAGCATGGTGGTGTCGTATTGATTTCTTAATTTTGAGAAGGTATACATCTTTATCCCCTACACATTGTCCCGCTCATCACACCATCTCTCAACGATTCGAATGCACTCAATTTTGACTTATTGGTTGAAATTAATTAACTAATTCACTTACTTGAAATGTTTTGATTTTTTAGTTTTTGCAAAATTAAGAACTTTGACACTTTGAGCTTTAGTAGGATTGTCGTTTAGGATTTACAACAAAAAATATGGCGCTTTGCAAGGAAAATTTTATAGTTGGTGCACATTATTGTGAGTCCCTTTTGCTTCATTACCATTTTTAACGATGGTTGTAGTTCAATATTTATAAGTACTCTTTTTTTTTTCTTAGCTTGTATCGTTAATAAAACATAGTATCTTAATGTTGATATTTGAGACTTTCTTGGCCGAAAGTATTTTCATGTGTTTTATTTTTATTGGCAGGTAACTGACGTGCTTGATCACGTCTGTTTTGTGTTGATTACAAAATTAGGTATTGTCATGTTCAATGCTTTCTGACACGAACAATTTTTTTCCTGACTTTCCAAGTTGATTTTTTTACAATATTTTTTAGCGTTCTAATTAAGTATGTAGTTTCAAACATATGGATTTTATGCTTTTTCAGTTTATTTTTCTGGCATTTTGATTATTAAAGTTAGCTTTTCTCCATCTCTCTATTGTAATTTGTCTTCAAGAGAAATTTTATATTGGTAATACTTTGTTGAGCATGTATGCAAGTGTAAAGTGTTAAGAATGCGATTTAAACTTCACTACAAGAAAAAAAAGTTTTTACGGCGGTAAAGTACTGTCATAAAAGGTCTATTTGCCGTCACAAATACTTTTTGTGGCGGCATTACCTCGCCATAACAAGTGTGGTGTCAAAAAATTTTTACGGTAGCAACGGTCTGTCTCAAATAATATTTACAACAGCAAGACTCTATTGTAAATAAATTGTCACAAAAAATCTGACACTTTTGCTTTTATCACGGCAGCAAAAGTGCTGCCTCAAATACCATATTTGGATGTAAAAAATGAAAGATATATTTATGACAGCAACGATGTCGCCATAATTTTTTTTTTGTTAATTATTATGACTGTTGGTAACCAATGTTATATACCATGTGCATATATACACTCTGTACAACATTTTTTTTTTTGGGAAGCGGAATGGGGTAGAGAGCTTGAACCTTTGACTTCAATAACACAATACTTTTACAATATAAAGAGTACCATTAGACCAAAAACCAATTAGTATCCATAAACCAACCCAATTTAATATATAAATAAACACAAACGTAAATATAATCAATATTTCTAAAAACATAGCAATATTTTCATATAAAAAAAAAACAATCACATGAGTTAAACAAAATGTAAAATATGCATTTTTATAAAATATAACGATCTATGAGTACAAGAAATTAATGCAAAAAATTGATTATCGTTCCCGAACCATCTATTCTCTCAGTGACATATGAAAAAAATATAAAATTATATATACTATATAAAATAGTATTTGTATACATATATACAATAAATAATTAAAAGAAGTTAGAATATACATTAACAGAGAGTTACACAATATTTCTTTGAACGACTTGTCCAATTATGTAAATAATATATGAACGAGTCATATCGTATACATTTATTTAATTTGGTTTCACCAATATCTGATTCGTTTGTAATTGTATCGTGATGGGTTCACTCGTTTACTAAACATGTGGTTTAAGAAAGACTCAAACCCACTAATTTTATGTCGTGTTAACGAGTCATGTCATATTTTGACACCCTTAGTTTTGATATAAAAACTTGACTTTGTAGAGTTTAATTTTTTTTTCTTTGAACTAGAAATTGTCTTTTGATGATAAACTACGTAATTTTATAAAATATTATTTGTAACATGAAAAATAGTTGTGGTCAATACAAATTTTTTTTAGAGTTTTTCTTCTTTAAACTATAAACTATTTTTTAATCTAAAACAACATTTTAATGTTTTATGAAATATTATATACGAAGGGAAAAATAGCTGCCATAAATATAAAAAATTCTTTTAAATTTATAAAATATTATTTGAGTTAGGAAAAACAGTTGTCTTAAATACAAAAATTTCTTTTGAGTTTATGACACTATTTATGACAAAAAAAATTAGTTGCCACAAATATTAACATAAACACGTTTTTTGTGACAACTTTGTCTCAAATATGTCTTTTGTGACGGTGAATACAGCTGCCGTAAAAAATTTGTTACAAAAGACCTTTATTTTTGTAGTGTTTTCAGCATATTGCAGTCATTTTCAGTATTTAATTATTTTGAGTTTACAATTAATATTCGATTATTTTTTGAATTGTATAATACCTTCAGACACGAATTATCGATAGTAATACAATAGGACATGATGAGATATGAAAATAATACAAGATGATTTGATTGAGACCTTTAGTATAAAGAATTAGACGACTTACTTTTTTTTGCTACCATATAGATGACTAACTTGGTTTGGAATATTTAATGAAATGACAAGGGGAAAGTTGCGTGGATGAAAAAATGAGAATGAAAAATAGGGTGGAAAGAAAGTGTTAGGCCCTCATCGCAAGAGAAATTTAAAAGTGTAATTTGAGTGGGCTAACTTAAACTCAATTAAAAAAAAGATAGTATTAGGATTGAAGGTTTTAGGGATAGGGTTAAAAAGTTTTAACCCGAATTAGATTCGAGCAAGGCTCAGGTTCACAGGTTTAACTCGAACTCAACCCAAATTAATGAAACTAAGCTCGATTTGAATTCGTATATTATATTTATATAAATGATATGCAAAAATAAGATATTAATACATATTTTGTAATTATTATTATTTAAAGGAGGAGTTAAACATGATTTATAAGGACTATAGTGAAAAAAGTTTACACAACTGATATAAGATAAGTAAAAAAGATAAAAGAAAGGCATAAAGTTCTTATCTCATATCAGATAAACAACTCAAATGACCTCACTTTTCAGGCAAAGCTCGAGTCAAAAGCTTGGGTTCATGAGTTTAACCCAAACCCAATCCGAATTAATGAAATTGGGTTCAATATGAACCCAACTAAAGTTCATCCCTAATTTAGGATTATTGTTTGTTGAGCCTGAATTGAGTAATTCGATTTCAACCTAAACTTATGTGAAATCAACTCGGCCAATACTCGAGTTGAATAACTAGGGTTGAAATCAGATTAGGATTAGGGTTAAGGTTAAAGATTTTATATTTAGGATTGGACTAGGGTTGATTCCTCAACCCGCCCAAGTTACACCGCTAATATGAGATTTGGCCGGAGATTTTCTCATCCCATTTTGTCTTGTGAAGATCTTTACCATTATAATTGTTCAAGCAATACAGAACATAGTTTTGCATCTCTTCCCAATAGAAACACAAAAAATAAGTAATACTTAACATAGCTTTAACAGTGTACAGTTCACACACACGCAAAACACCGCCTCATCCTATGAGGTCAATGCCTTGGAGGATCAATGAATCGGCAAGAACCTGATTAGCAGCCTCAGAGGGATGGACACTATCCCAAAACACAAACTGAGTTGCGTTGCTACAAGTTCCTGGTGACTTCGGATTGCACAAGAATATTGTTGTCTCTACTGTCCCTGTTCCACAGCAGCCTTTCTTTGCTTCTGTAAAACCTACAAAAAAACAGTACCAAGAGAAATTAATCCTTATATGCAGTGCTAGTATCGCCTTATCATCTATAGAATTCTTTTATAAAGAAGAAAAGAAACTGGTTTAGTACCATAATTTGAAGGTGTTCGAATGATGTCGTAGAGAGGCTTGAAAATGTCGAAGATGACAAGTTTGAGGCCGGGAAGTTGCTTCTGGAGTTTAGTTGCAGCTGAGTTGATCTTTTTATTGAATCCTTGGGCATCAGTGTTTATCCTAGAGACACACCCTGGCTGGTGAAACCCGAATAAAGTGATAGCTGCAGGAAGGCACCCCAATGGTGGGAGAGATGTCACCCCAATTCTCCGGGCTCCCAACCCATACAAGTCCTGTTTATGGAACAAGGTAATGTAACTACTTCATTTATACTAGATGAAGATGCTTTTAAGTCCTGAAATGTTAAGTGGTATGAATCAATCCTCGCTCTATTTTTCATCTTCGTATAGAGACTCAGAATGAACCAAGTTAGACTAATTTGAGATACATGTTATTGAAGGTGATGTCAGCCGCGTGGAAACTAAACCAAGGTCAAGATTGGATGTCCCTGCTGGTGACATCCTTAGAGTTTTTCAGGTTGATTATCCAATTCCAAGGAAATTATGACAAGATATATTGATTTCACTTCCCCCAAAATTACCGGCGGCATTAACACTAGTAAAGTTAGGGCTGTTAAATAATATGAGCAACTTGAGCTCAACACAGTTTTGGCTCACTAAGATTTCTAAGCTCATATTATAGACAGGCCGAATCCGAGCAACATATAGCTCAACTTGAATAGGTTTATGTTTCTATATAGTCCCTATTTTATGGTCAAAGATCCATTATTTAAAAGATCAACAATCTAAACTTATCCCCAAATAATTTGAAATCATATACAATTCCATATCCCTCTCGTCTCTTATAGGTTTTTGAAAAATTTACACTCCTAGACTTTGATTTGACTAAGTTCCAGGGTTGGACATAAACTATGGTGACACATTTTGCTCTGTTTCGGCTCGAATGATCCTAAACTTCACTCTGAGTCGAGCTTGAGCAATACTCGATCTTGACAAGTTCAGCTGGATTAAAATCCCTATGCAAAGTACCTTAATGAAGCTTGAAAATATGCCGACGAGATACGAAGAGTACTGATCAGGAGTGTAGACTCTGTTCAGCCAAGGATTGACATAATAATTCTGCAGAAAGTCACTGCTACCAGCACCCAATATATACAATGCATCCTTGAGTATGGAAACCGCTTTTTCACTACCTGCAACGTTTGCTAGCTTAGCTTGGTACTCTTTGTAATACTGCAGCTGATGTGATAATGGAATTGCATGCTGCAACAAATTTCAATTACAGTTATGGAAAAAAGAAAATTATAGTTACAAATTCAGCTTGTAAGCGAGATGCTTGAAAAAATAAAGAGAAATAAGTAGCAAACTTCGTTCGATTCGTGACAGGGAACAATTTGGAGTAAGAATTATAGGTGAGATTTAATATTTTCTTTGCCTTCTCCTATGTCTTCTTGGCAGATAAGATGAGTTCTTACATTCAAGATGGCTGTTTTGTCATCGTAGCCTGATGCCGCAGAAGCAAAGTTGGCTCCAATGAGAAGGTTCTTCCCAGATGCCTGTGGGCTAAGATATGCTGGCGGGTAAGTAGTAAACCCCAGATCATCAGCTGCACCGAAAGATAAATTTGGTGATACATGTAAATGAGCAAAGTGCTGCACGGGAGCTTGAAAGTGTAGCATTGAGTTAACTAGCAAATCTGAATTGTTTGTTGGATGGACTGGTTGAACGTAAATCATTAGATCTTGAACTTACCAGTGATATCAGTGGCTAGTTTTCCATTGCAGAACCTTCCAGTGGCCTTCTGGTTCACGAAATCCCTCCCATAAGGCGGATAATTGGCCTTGAAAAGAGTTGGGATATAGTCATTGTTCCCAACATCCACAGCCGAGTCCCCAAACGTCACAATAGCCGGAACCGTAGTCGTCGATTCCTGAGCATCCCCACCGATGACAAAGGCCAGTGCCAAAATCAAAGCCAATGCAGCCTCTGATCTTCGGTAGATACCCATTAATTTCTGGTAAAAGTATGTGTCTGAGACTTTTAGCGTAGACCATGAGACCTCAAGAGAGAGAGAGAGTACCGACTACTGAGAGTGAACCATATTCAAGCTTGTGCTGAAGGAGGATGAGTAGCCATTAATAGGCCTTTAGAAGTGGTTATATAGCATTAAAAGCACAGATATTAATACATAGATAGGGTTGGAACTAACTTTTCTCTTGTCAGCTTAATTATAACTCGTTATGAAGATTTCTATTTGTCAATGGCACATTATAAAGTGAACCATAATTACGGCATTTGCTGATCCAACTGCTACGAGTTAGCAAAGTAGTTGGGAAGATAATGAATGGTGCATTAGGTTGCGCCCACGAGGATATTGCATGTGATGAAAGTAAATTTGTTGGTTGCAAATTTTGCCCACAGGAGTCAACTTTGCAGTCAAGACAAACAACACTTTGAACAACCGATCGAGTAGTGGGAATTGAATCGTTCTAAGTTATTCAAATACGACGATTGTTCTAGTACTGGAGTAGATATGAATCAGACTTCCTTTGGTTAATGTCGTGAGAGAATAAACACACAGAGAAGCCAAAGAGGCGATAGTTTTGAAGCTAGCAGTGTATCACAAATATTGCCAACGTGCACTATTCTTGAACAAATTCGAAACATCAATGTTACGAACTTTGGGTTTTATTATGATTTTCATTAAAAAAAAAAATGTTGATTTGCGTTTTAGATGTTCGTATCACATCGTAAATTTTCCTTGACAATTCGATTTGCAGAATACATAAGATAAGATGTACTTTTTTAAACTTACACATGATACGATGTTGCGTTCAGAATTTTCACTCTAAAAAACCTCATGGGTACATGCTCTGAAATAAGATTTTCTTAACTGATGCAATCTGGGGTAATGTTTCTCATGGAGTGATGCTATTGCTATAATAAGAAGGTTGGGTTGTATTAGGTTGGGGCTCTCTATGCGTGTTTCATTCTATGTGGTTTATGTCAACTTGTGTTTTTTTGTCATGTTCATCATTAACTGAGCCAAAACGTAAGACTAGTGCACCAATCTACAAGACATGGGTCTTCCATAAATTCAAAACCTAGCAAAAACCAAATAAAAAAATTAATTCTATAACAATTCATATAACATTTAGACCAAAAAAGCGAAAAAAAAAATACATTATCTTACAATATTAGTTAAACAAATTACTTGTTTCTCATAATAACTCAAAACTATTTCTTGTCGGTGTTAATGATTCCGTCATTTTTCGAACTTGTAAAGTTAGAAGCCTTATATTAAACTACTAGTTTTTGAAAACTTTTCAAACACAGAGACCATAAACGGGCTCAAGTCCATCATTCAAATATCCCCAAAGTATCTGTTAATGTGGTCAAATGCCTTGAATTCGAGTAGTTGGCAGGTAATTCTTACCGGAGATGTTGAAGTCAATGGACTTGTTTTCCGTAAAGATTTAGATTCCTACTAATACATTTTCTCAAAAAAAAATTCNTCGAGTAGTTGGCAAGTAATTCTTACCGGAGAAGTTGAAGTCAATGGACTTGTTTTCCGTAAAGATTTAGATTCCTACTAATACATTTTCTCGTAATTTTTTTTAACGCTCACCGTATATTTGTTGGAGATCCAAACTAGGTAAATACTTCGGGTACTCAACCCTATACTCAATACACAAGATTCTTGCTTATGGCGGGGTCTGAGACACTTAAACCTAAATGGTATTTGATCATGACATGATCTCAGGATGCAATCAAAACATCCGTATTACATTAAATCCATAAAAAGTTAAAAACCAAGTTTATTCCCCACAATCGATTTAAGTACAAACCCATAAAACATATGAAAGAAGTCTACAATCCAATAGACTGGCATCATGCAAATATGTCTTAAGCAAGAAAAATCAGGAGCGAACATCATACTTCGAAAAAGATATTAATNCTACAATCCAATAGACTGGCATCATGCAAATATGTCTTAAGCAAGAAAAATCAGGAGCGTACATCATACTTCGAAAAAGATTTTAACATCTACCTAGATTTGGGAGCCATGCTGATTTCAAGATCTATGGGAGACAATTCGAGTGATTGCCCAGCTCCCATATCATCTCTCTCCATCCTCAAACTTCTTCCCTGAGTCGTCTCCATTGCCAACCCCTCTTTTAATTCCATCAATACATGACTCATTCTCAGCCTTTGGGTGGCGGTTGATGGTACACATGCCATGGCAGTCTCTAAAATTTTCCAGGCAGAGTTGATGTTGAAATCTCCTTGCAACCTTGGATCCACAATGTTCTGAATATCCCCTTTTGCAAGCATGGAGTTAACTCGATCAACTAAGTGAATGACTTTGGTTTCTTTTGTTATTGCAGGTTGGCCAGTAATTAGCTCCAAAAGTACAATCCCAAAGCTGTAAACGTCACTCTTCTCATTTAACTGGAAGGTTGAGTAATATCTGCAGGTCAAAACACCTGTGCTTGAAATCCAGCCAGACAATTTCAAAGCAGTATTTCATGGCTATCTGGATATAAGTATATAACTAATAAGGCTGCCTCTCTGTCATTCTTGGATAGGGTTTACAGTCATATGTAGTATGAAGTTGCAATTACCAGAAGGAACAACATGTTCAACCAGTATGAAAATTGAAATTGTGCCCAAGTTTTTATTGGCAAGTTCAGAGCAACATTATTGTATGATTAGAATTGATGTTCTTCTATATAAATTTAGCGAGGCATCAAAACTCTTACTGTGGATCAAGGTAACCATGTGTGCCAACAACAGCGGTTGACACGTGAGTTTCACTTTCAGTTGCAAAAATTCTGGATATCCCAAAATCAGCAATCTTGGCTTGCATTTCTTCATTCAACAAGATGTTGGCAGTCTTCATATCTCTGTGGATTATAGGAGGCTTGCAACCATTATGTAGATACTCCAATCCTAAGATTTAAATTGTCATCATTTAGCTTACTTTGAAGCTCAGGAATCTAGAAGAAAATGACATTAAGAGGAAAGAGAAAGAGCATGCTAGATATGCTTGCTGACCTTGCGCAGCATCCACTGCAATTTGAACTCTTTCTTTCCAACTCAAAACATTTGCTGTTTTCTCTGCAGTCACCACTTAACTGCATTACTTTTGTTGGAAATTTTCTATTTAGTTTCTATTTAATTTTTTTATGGATTCTTTTCATATAAATATTCCTCTTCATTGAATAAAAAAAAATAGAAGCAATCAATTGTTTTTATGGCACAAATTGCCAAATTTCATTGAGAAAATCAAGTACCATGTCAAAAAAGTAATCTTTAAAGTTTTTAACAGCTTGCCTGATCTGAAAAGGGAAGTCAGTAAAGTTAAAGCAAGCAGCATGACTAACAGAAGAATAAAAAGATTCCAGCACCATTCCCGCCATTGACAAAAGAAAATGAGATCGAATAAGATATGCTGCCAACTCCCAAATTGTTTTGTTAAAGGTTATATAGAATCATGCTGAATTCACAGATGCCTAGTTTAGGAAAATGAAAAATCTTATGAACTAAATCTGCATCAGATAGGAAGGTCCAGTGACAATCCCGTCCATTATCTATGGCTGAGCGTTATAACAACATATAATGATACCTGATAGATGCTGCTTCACATTTCCATTAGCCATGTATTCAGAGATGAGTGCCATATTAGTACCTTCATCACAATACCCTATAAGTGTAGCTAAGTTTCTATGATGAATTCTCATCAAGAGTTGTACCTGCAAATCAAATTGACTTACAACTGGTGAAATGAATCTTGTCAACAGACATGCTAATTAAGTGGCAAACATGGTTAGTAACTAGTGAAAAGAACCTCTACCAAACTGCTGTAACATACCTCAGTGTGGAATTCCTTTGTTTGGGTTGATGATGGAGAGAGCATTTTCACAGCAACTTGAGTGCCATCTTTCAAGCGGCCATGATAAACTGTTCCGGATCCTCCTCTTCCTATAACTATTTCAAAGTTGCCAGTAATGCTCACAATCTCAGAAAAGGTAAACTTTCGGGTTTTTGACTTAACTGATCCCTCTTTGCCAGCTTCAACAACCACCATTTCTATGGAAAACAAGACCATAACAATTGCAACAAGCACAAACATATTAAAAAGAATTTTATACATGTATTATCTCTTCTATAAAATTGTGATATTTATGTCAAATTCCATCTCCCATATTTTTTATGGTTTCCATGGCTCAGATTTCAAATGCCATTACTTCCTGCAAATATTGAAATATAGTCAGGACTTGTAACACTGTCAATTTCCTAGCTCTTGCTCTACACCCTTAAAATCAAGGGGAAATTTGTTTAAAATACTTTGGTGGATTTGATTTGCATTTTTATCTGGTTCTGCTCATGCAAGGCGTGATCAAATCTGTTAGTAATAATTTGTAGAAATCTTTTGGGCCAAAAAGCTAGAAAAAAAACTGTGGCCATGTTTGGCCCAAAGGCCTAATGACAATCCCACCTATGGTTACCTATCAGGGTATGTAAATAGCTAGTAGACTATATACAAAATAAGGTTTAATGCAAGGAAGAGAACCTATGTCACACTAAAGCTGCAGCAAAGAAACCTACACCGGCCCAAGCTATTACATCAAATGCCAAATCAGCAGAGATTGTTAAACAACCATTTACTCCAAAAGCTTAAGCTCTTAGAGAGGGTGTAACTTAAGTACTTATACTTCATCACGCCCCTTGACATGCAGGCTAGATTTTGGGCCTAACACGTGAAATTTTTTTAATAATTAGGGTGACAGCAAGATTCGAACACAAAACCTCCTACTCTGATATCATGTTAAACAACCATCTACTCCAAAATCTTAAGTTATTCGAGAAGGTATAACTTAAGTATTTTTACTTCAACAAAGATAACTGGGAATAGTGAGAAAAAACAACCTACCTCCCCTTTTTTTCCTTTTGAGAGTCCAAAAGATGGCAAGACCACCTAAAAGGAGCAGGATCAATGCCGATACAATGGGTACAAGAACTGGAATAAGATCTGTCGTCTTTTTTTTGCGTGAATCTGTCTGACAAACTTTTGGATTTTCGTCCATGCTTGCATTGCAGAACACAACCGTCTTTTCGCATGAATCCGTTAGACAAAGATTTGGATTTTTGTCCACTCTTGCATTGGGGGACATGATCAACGTCTCAATCAGTGTATTAGTTTTCAATTAATAACCTTCCATTACTTGATTGCCATTGGTTTCTGAAATGTAAATGAAGATAACCAATAAAAGAATGAATTTGTGGATTTGAAAGATTCACAAACCTTAACAACAATGTTTTATCCTTGACTTTTTGCTGTAGAGCCTGGGGGATGAAACCTGTGAGGTTGTTTCCCGATAAATTACTGTCCAAAACAGCATGAAATGAATCAGATGGATATTGTAGAATGAGATCAAGAACCGCAGAATATGTCAGGTACTCATATTATATTTATTAATTGTTTTTTTTATCGGTACGCTTACAGCATATTTAGAAATGGCAGTTGCTCTAAAAATCCTGGCAGTGGTCCACTCAAGTTGTTGGACGATAGATCCCTGAAACAAGAGGATCTTTTTATTAAGTGCAGAAATTAATAAGGTACAGAGGGCAAGTGCAGACGGAATCACATATTTAGAGTAATAAGGCGAAAGGAATGGGGGGAGCGGGAGGAATCCGAAAGATCAAGGGTTTAACACAAGAAATTTGATATAATCAAGTTATTTAACAATGTGGCACTCCCATGTTCTCTTCATACGATGCCAACTGGCACCACCCCTGGTGGTCGTTTTATATGACAGAATAGACCAGTTGGGTTCTTACTTTTCGAATTGTTTCTCGAGTTGTGTTTGGTTTGGGTTCCATGACAACGATCAAGTGCAGTCATAAATGAAAAATCACTGTTTTTTCCACTGTACAACAATGGGGATTCAAACGTCGGTTATCCAATTCATCACATGCGACACTTTGTCATTGTGATAGACCCACAATATCACAAAAATCAGTATTTCAAAGATAATATCATGGATGCGTCTAACTAAAATTTTCTCTACTTCTATTTGCCAGTTCCAATGACAAAATGCCTCCAATGAATACCTAACCTTGTCATATGGCATGATATTAAGCCGCACATTCACTATGGACAGGTCCAAATTGGTCAATTTGACAGGCCTGCCAACACATTGTTCATCACCTCCAATAAGAAGTATACCTGGATTTTTAAATACTTACAAAGATTGTATTGATTTGAAATTGAAGAATACAGGCAAGATCTCCCCAGACAGTCCGCTTGAGCTCAAGTTCCTGTCCACAATTGTTCGAGTAAGAAATTATTTGAGCCATTCTTAATTACAGTTTAGGACTTCACACCAAGATACTCTTGAGTTTTTGGGCATTTGTTGGTTACTCAATTGGCTGAGTGATTCAATTGAAATCATTCTGCCTTATTCTTTGCTGTATTTTAGAAGATCCATTTCTGGAGTCATTTCACCAAATAATTGGCTCAATAGTTAGTTTAGAATCATCTACCCACAGTTAGGATTACAGTAGATTCAATTCAATATAATTACACTAATAAATAAGGAATTTGTATTCAACGCAGTGAAAATAATGAAGTGTACCGTTTCAAATTTCAGCAGACATCTTATGAAACACTATACGAATTTAGATGTGCACTCACAATGAGATGATCCTTGGAGGATTTTCATCGCTGCAATGCAAACCCTGCCATGTGTAATTGATTGGGAGACATGGGTCTCCTTGCCAATCTTTTTTCTCCGCTGTCACATTCTTTTTGATGTTCATGATGGCATCAACTGTTGTTAACAAGGGTAAGAAGGATCTCAAGACTCCAAACACAAATCTCAGAGAAAATGAATTGCTAAACAGCTTTTTGAAAACCCAACTTTTATCTTCTTTTGCACAAAATTTGCTCTTTCAAATATGAAATACCTAACTTTTCTATGGTGGTGGGTTGCTTCAAAAGTCAGTGACATGTTAAGTGAAACATTTTTCAGAAACTGAAAAAAAATTGAAAAGGGTAAAAATTATAAAAATGAAAGCATACCATCTTCCTGATTTGTCGGCAAAAGAAGGAGGCTCTTCGCCTGAAGAATTTCCAAGCCATTAAGGATGGGAGGTAGGTCAGAACCCGCGCCCGTGCTTATAGAAAAACTAAGTTGGGCACCTTTGATTGGCCATTTTGAGGTAGTTACGGTGGTTGCCTTTAGGTATTCGAGTTTAATAGGTTGTTCACCTGGGTAAGGTTCACCATTTAAAGAAATGTAGAGCTTCCGCTGCGTTCCATTGGGTAGAACCTCAATTTCAGCAAAGTGAAGATAGACATAACTATCAGAATTGGGGTCTGTAGGATTCCACTTATAATCTATGGCATCACCAGCAGATTGTGCCTTGATCGCTGTGCTCAATACTTTCTCCGGAGGTTTATCAGCAGTTGCGCTATTCTGCGTGTCGATGGACTCTTGGTCTTGGATTTTGATTGGATAATAACCATCGAATCCTCCAGTATTCCAGATGCGATCATAAACATCATCTTTGTACCTAAAAGTAAGAGAGAAGGGAATAAAACAAAGGTTCCATATAACACAAGTATACAACTGGGTAAGGTATGACAACCGGATTCGTGTTGAATTTTAGTACGCCGGTCATCCAATATCGATGAGGGATAAATTTTTACGATCAGACTCAAGAGATTGTCCAGAGAAGATCTCTGGAAAAGGATCAAGATCTACACTTAAAACACGTAAATTTACGGTTTATTTTTATTATCAATTAAGTTATCTGAGTTTATTTTTAAATTTTCATCCCACATAATTTTTCACCATGTAAATAAGTCCTATTAATATTTAATGATAAAAATTATGTCAAATTATTTAAAATAAAAAATTTAGTAAGAAAATTTACTAAGTATAGCAATTTTCTAAGGGTTTGTTTGTTTAACGGGATTATAGTTAAAAATGTAAGAAAGATAAATTTTTTAAAATTTTCATGTGTTTAGTCAGTATGTATGAAATGAGAAATGATGAAAAAAATAATCTTCTTCTATACTTAGATTTTTTCATAATTAATTAACTTTTTTTTTCTTCTAAAAAACATAAAAAATGTAAGAAAGTTATAATCTAAAGCTAACTTTTTATTTTATCCTTATTTTTTGAAAAATATTTTATTGATTATTAATTTTTTAAAAATTTGATTTGAATTTAGTTAACTATATATTTTGGCCTACAGATATTCGTGATGGTGCTTGCCTTATAATTAGGTTACGAGCTGTTTTTTTAAAAGAAAATTAACTTTTAATTATAATACATTTTATTTTATTTTGTAGACCAATTTAATATAATTAAGAGTAATTTAAATAATTAAAAAAAATTTATAACTATTCTTTCTTTCAAATAATATAATAAAAAAAATTTAAAATTTTCTTAAAAATTTTTCGTGCTAATCAAATATATGCATTAAAATATATTTTTTTAATATGTTTTATTTCATTTTACATTCTATCATTTTACTTTCCCCCATTTCTTTTCTTCTTCCTAACCATTTGCGGCCAAAAGGAAAAACCGACATGCAGAGAGAACGATAAAGATAGCAAATGCTATTCACCTGACTGACTGGTTAGATCCAACATCATATCGGTGTGCGGTTTGTAGACTCGGTCCCAACTCAGCATAAATGGGATTGTCCAACAGCCTCAGTTCCAACGCAGATATGAACGGAATTCCAGAACCAGTGTTTACAAGGCACACATATATCAAATCCGTCGCCGGAACAAATATAATCTCTTCATAGAAGTACGACAGTACCTTCTCCAGCTCCACCGTCACCCAGAAATTAACACCAAGATACAGGTCAAATTTCGGAATCTCATTTTTGCCGTCGTAATTCCCATACATGAAGGAACCTCTTAACAGGTACTTATCGTCTTTGCCTTGGCTAGGTTTTGGCAGGGTGTAACAGTTCTTTATTCCTTCGTCAAAACTTCTCAAGTTCTTTGATCGTCGATCGTAAGGTGCAAGAGTCATTGATTCTGACGATATCGGCTTGTTTTTTCCGGTACCAATGAATTCTGCATCTGTCTGGTAAAATATACCGCTGGATGGATCGGTGTAATCTTCTGACTCACCACAGTCTATGCTTATGAAACCTTGAAAAAATTATTTGCATAGGAGTTAGATAGAGAGAATGAAACTAGTTATGCAAAGGTTTGTCTTCTCAGTGTCGGTGCCAGAGCAAGTTTTGTAGCATTGCTCTTTTTCTTATAGCTGGGGAAAGGGAGGAGAGAGAAGGGAGATGGCACAGAAAGATGGGGAAGGGGGAGAGAGAGAGAGAGATTATGAACAAACATCATATGTGGTTGTACAACAATAGAACTAAAAACATATTAGAAAATTTGAAGTAAAAAGGCAAACTACGTGCTAGAATAAGAACAATGGTATCTTATCCTTATGTCGTAGGATTCGTTAAACAAAAATATTTCTTCAAAGTGGCGTCTCCAGACATTTCAAGGTCATCATTCCTGGTGATTCAAACTCGTAAATTTGGTGAAAAGATACTGGGAACAAAGGGGGGAAAAGAGAGCAAAATGCAAAAGATCATGAGCAACACATAAGGATGGCAAAATTTCCAAAATGATTGACCAGTTTGTATTTTTACCGGAGTTGTTGAATATTAGTTTCCTTCTGGTTTGTGCATGCTGAATATCACCATCTGCTATGAAGGCCTTTGTGATGTAATCATCATTTGTTGCAACATCTACTTCCAAGTTCCCAGAGGTACTCATCATCACCATACTGAACATCAACCACAATATAACAACTGAAGCCATTATTTACGGTTTAGGATTTAGGATTTAGGATAAAGTTTCTAACATGCAGATTGTTTTCTCCCATAGGTGGATCATCTCAGTTTGGGTTCCGACCCTGCTTGAGGAGAGAGAGTGAGCTGACCACACATAGAACTTTATGGTGGTGGGAGAAATTCTTGTTAGCTAGAGATGGAAAAAGGGTGGTTTTAGAATGCATATATGGAGATTAGTTGTCGTCTTTTATATAGAACAATTAGGGATAACTGTGTCCGAAGACATGGTGTAATGTATGTGAAAAATGATAGATTTTAAGGAAAAAAATTTAATATAAATAGTTTTAAGAAGGATGTTAGTGACCGTTAGATGAGTTTATTTGAGATAGTCGACTTAAAAATTTAACTTAATGATTTTATTTTATTTGTCATTAATTTAACCGCAAGTGCTATGGAAAACGATCTTGCCCATGTCCCATGGATATTGCCTTGGTACCATGAAATTAAAATTTGGTGCAATATCTAAATTGATATGTAATGGTAAATTTTAGTTTAATTGATTTGTAATTATTAATTTTAAAAATTATAAAATTATAAAAATCATAAAAAATAATTTTATGCATATTATATTTTGACTGGACAATAAATAAAAAAATAATACAAAAAAATAATTTTTAGAATCTTGTTTGGACAAGCTAGTTTTTTCTTTGGGAGCTGGCAGTGATATTGAGAGTCAATACGACTTAACTTGTGGATCAATTGCGCAGGTCAAGTCCTTGTTCTGCTATCAAAATGTGGTCCAGGGGTAATTTCTACGACTTTTCAATATTGTATCGAAAGTTATTATTTTCAATGACTCAAGTCAAGTCCTTGTTATACCATAAAAATGTGAACTTAGGGTTGAGGATTAAAATTTTGTTTCAGTGTAATATTTTTNACGACTTTTCAATATTGTATCGAAAGTTATTATTTTCAATGACTCAAGTCAAGTCCTTGTTATACCATAAAAATGTGAACTTAGGGTTGAGGATTAAAATTTTGTTTCAGTTTAATATTTCCGTCATTTAAAAAACATAAATATTTCGACATGTTTCGAAAACCTTTCAATTTGTTTCAAAAATAGAATAAAAAAAAATAAAAAATTTAAGAATTATTTTTTCAAAATATTGGTCGAAATGTACCAAAATATTTTAAAATACTTTTAAATATTTTAAAATAATTGTGCAAATGCATTGAAATATAACAAAATATTTCGAAACATTATGAAACTCTTCGAAGTTTTAAAATTTCGATTCTATCACTGATTCGTTTCTGTCTACTTAAAAACAGAAACGTTTCGTATGTTTCGACAGTTTCACAACGGTATTTTGATCCTTGCGTAGGGTTATTTTTACGAATTTTCGATATTGTATCAAAAGTTATTATTTTCAATGATAAAGTTATATTCGTTTTTTTTTTTGAGGAAGGGGAAGGAGATTTGAACCCTTGACTTCAAGAAGACAAAATTTTTATAAGATAAAAAATATCATTGCACCAAAGGCTCAATAGTATGAAATTATATCCGTTAAAGATAGAATTAAAATAACGTAAGAAAATGCAAAATCAATCATGAAATACAATGTGACATTGAATTTATTCAAATAGTTGTACTTTCTCTTTTACAAATATTACACAAATTGTAATATATCCTTAAAAATTTGTAACTTAACTTTTATGATTAATCACAACATTTTGGGATCGATCATATCCATTATAATTTAACCTAAAAAAGTTAAACCTTTCAATAAAATACCGAAAACGATACTGTAATTCTTGTCGTTCTGATAGGGCCAAGTCAAATTAACCTAGCCGATAAACATTTCGGATTGTGGTCTAGCATGGATACATTTTTCAATTTAAAATTATGTGTGACTGACGAATGATTATTTACAATTCACAATTACATTATATTCATGGGTTTAAAACAAACGTAGTTAGAACAATTATTTATAAATTCACCAATTACCTAACTTGGAGTTGGAGGGCATCCCATTCAATTCCCACCATTGAACTGACTGAAAAGGACCGAAGGTTTAATATTCAATGGAGTGACAGACCCAGAGCTCTAGCCCCAAGCTCACGAAAGACGGAAGCTACAAGACCCAAAGGGAAGATGAATTGAAAACCCATGCATTGTGGAATTGACCAACAAGAAAAACAAATGAACTGAAAAGGACTAGAAATTGAGGCTAATAAATCAATCAACCTAATGTACGAGTGATTGACGCAAAGAACGGAACTAGGATTTTATCATACGAAGAGTTAAATAAAATAGTTACATAGTTAAAAATTTATTCTAAGAAATTATTGAATAAGTTATTTTCAATGCCAAATTTTTGTTTTTATTAGAATTTATGAAATTGCAAGAATTAGTTTAGGATATAAAATCTAAAATTGATCTTTTTTTTATAGAAATAAGATTTTATTAAATAAATCAAAAAATTACAAGAATCAAAGGAAAAAATCCCATTTTCAACAAATGTATGGCATTAATTCTACACAAAAACCAAAAAACCTATTTCAGTCTACTCAAGGATCACAAGTCTTCCAGCCATCTTACTCAGCTGAAGTCCTCAGCCATCTTACTCTAAGGATTCTTACTTGGCATCGTAAAATTAATTTATGACAATGTTATGGTCTATTTATTCTTTGTTTTACTACATAATACAATGACTATGAATAAATTGTTGTTGTAAATATTACTTTTACGTGATACTATTATAAAAATTAATTATTACAATGTATTATTATGATATATAGCTTTGCCCTTTTTTTTTTTTTTTTATCTTGGATTGGGGTGGCTCAACGAAATTTGAGATCTAAAATGAAAACACTAAATAAGGGCATTTTTATTTTTAATATTAAGTTTTAAAAAACTAATTTATTTTTAACTTATTATATGAGAGAGAGAGAGACCGAAGAAGAAGGTGATAGTGTTATCGAGAAAAATGTTTTAACTTTTATTTTGTTTTTTACGGGAGAGTGTATTTAATTTTAACTTTTTTTTAATGTTTTTTATTTATTTTTAAGTAGAGAGAGTGAGTAGGGATAAATATGAGTTAATTTTTGAATACTTTTTATTTCTTTATTTTTTTTTAGGTTTCTAATGTTATGAATTAAATCATGGATCCAAATTATTATAATAAAAATTGAGGCCTTCTTTTAAGGTTTAAAATTTAAAGGATTTAAATTTTTTCTGGGTTAGTAATGTACATAAAATTATGAGGCCTTCCAAAAAATTAGAAGGTAAAGCCCAAGCTTTTTTTTTAATGCTGTTGAGCCGCACCTGATCTTGGGTTATAAGACTCACAAAACCATGTGTCTTAGTGTATAAGGNTTTTGCTTGACTGAATTTGTACAATGGCCGGAAAAGAACCATTGTCTAACCTTGCTTTCTTAGGTTGGTTTTGAAAAAGACATCAGTTGATGTGTGTATGTGGATGCTCATTTAGGAGTAAACTCTATCTCTTGGAAAATAACTTCAAACTTCTGACTACAAAACTTGACAATTCTTTAGACTTTTTGAGTTCAAAACTTGGCAATTCTTGATCTTAGGTCTTAGCAGGACTGGTTGAGGTCTTTTTTTCTTGTAAAGGGACTGCTTTTGAGGTTGCAATTGCTGATGCAGAGTCCTAACAGTACTCTCTTACACCCCTTTTCCCAGAAATCAGTGATAGTGTTTTCTTGTTTAATAATCTCATGGAAAACTGTGAAATATTAACACAAGCATATCAATTTAAAAACCATACTCAATACACAAGATTTTTGCTTATGGCGGGGTCTGAGACACTTAAACCTAAATGGTATTTGATCATGACATGATCTCAGGATGCAATCAAAACATCTGTATTACATTAAGTCCATAAAAAGTTAAAAACCAAGTTTATTCACCACAATCGATTTAAGTACAAACCCATAAAACATATGAAAGAAGTCTACAATCCAATAGACTGGCATCATGCAAATATGTCTTGAGCAAGAAAAATCAGGAGCGTACATCATACTTCGAAAAAGATTTTAACATCTACCTAGATTTGGGAGCCATGCTGATTTCAAGATCTATGGGAGACAATTCGAGTGATCGCCCAGCTCCCATATCATTGCTCTCCATCCTCAAACTTCTTCCCTGAGTCATCTCCATTGCCAACCCCCCTTTTAATTCCATCAGTACGTGACTCATGTTCAGCCTTTGGGTGGCGGTTGTTGGTACACATGCCATGGCAGTCTCTAAAATTTTCCAGGCAGAGTTGATGTTGAAATCTCGCAACCTTGGATCCACAATGTTGTTAACTCGATCAACTAAGTGAATGACTTTGGTTTCTTTCGTTATGGCAGGTTGGCCAGTAATTAGCTCCAAAAGTACAATCCCAAATCTGTAAACGTCACTCTTCTCATTTAACTTGAAGGTTGAGTAATATCTGCAGGTCAAAACACCTGTGCTTGAAATCCAGCCAGACAATTTCAAAGCTGTATTTCATGGCTATCTAGATATAACTAATAAGACTGCCTCTCTTAGTCATTCTTGGATAGGGTTTACAGTCATTTGTAGTATGAAGTTGCAATTGCCAGAAGGAACAACATGTTCAACCAGTATGAACATTGAAATTGTGCCCATGTTTTTATTGGCAAGCTCAGAGCAACATTATTGTATGATTAGAATTTATGTTCTTCTATATAAATTTAGCGAGGTATCAAAACTCTTACTCTGGATCAAGGTAACCATGTGTACCAGCAACATCGGTTGACACGTGAGTTTCACTTTCAGTTGCAAAAATTCTGGATATCCCAAAATCAGCAATCATTCAACAAGATGTTGGCAGTCTTCATATCTCTGTGGATTATAGGAGGCTTGCAACCAATATGTAGATACTCCAATCCTAAGGTTTAAATTGTCAACATTTAGCTTACTTTGAAGCTCAGGAATCTAGAAGAAAATGACATTAAGAGGAAAGAGAAAGGCAAGCCAGATATCCTTGCTGACCTTGTGCAGCATCCACCGCAATTTGAACTCTTTCTTTCCAACTCAAAACATTTGCTGTTTTCTCTGCAGTCACCACTTAATTGAATTACTTTTGTTGGAAATTTTCTATTTAGTTTCTATTTAATTTTTTTTATGGATTCTTTTCATATAAATATTCCTCTTCATTGAATAAAAAAAAGAAGAAGCAATCAATTGTTTTTTATGGCAAAAATTGCCAAATTTCATTAAGAAAATCAAGTGCCATATCAAAAAAGTAATCTTTAAAGTTTTTAACAGCTTGCCTGATCTGAAAAGGGAAGTCAGTAAAGTTAAAGCAAGTGGTATGACTAACAGAAGAATAAAAAGGTTCCAGCCCCATTCCGGCCATTGATAAAAGAAAATGAGATGGAATAAGATGTACAGCCAACTCCCAAATTGTTTTGTTAAAGGTTATCTAGAATCATGCTGAATTTCACAGATGCCTAGTTTAGGAAAATGAAAAATCTTATGAACTAAATCTGCATCAGATAGGAAGGTCCAGTGACAATCCCGTCCATTGACTATGGCAGAGCATTATAACAACATATAATGATACCTGATAGATGCTGCTGCACATTTCCATTAGCCATGTATTCAGAGATGAGTGCCATATTTTTACCTTCATAACAATACCCTAGAAGTGTAGCTAAGTTTCTATGATGAATTCTCATCAAGAGTTGTACCTGCAAATCAAATTGACTTACAACTAATGAAATGAATCTTGTCAACAGACATGCTCTTTAAATGGCGAACATGGTTAGTAACTAGTGAAAAGAACCTCAACCAAATTGCTGTATCATACCTCAGCGTGAAATTCCTTTGTCTGAGTTGATGATGGAGAGAGCAATTTCACAGCAACTTGAGTGCCATCTTTCAAGTGGCCATGATAAACTTTTCCAGATCCTCCTCTTCCTATAACTGTTTCAAAGTCGCCATTAATGCTCACAATCTCAGAAAAGGTAAACTTTCGGGTTTTTGACTTAAACGATCCCTCTTTGGCAGCTTCAACAACCACCATTTCTATGGAAAACAAGACCATAACAATTGCAATAAGCACAAACATATTAAAAAGAATTTTATACATGTATTATCTCTTCTATAAAATTGTGATATTTATGTCAAATTCCATCTCCCATATTTTTTATGGTTTCCAGGGCTCAGATTTTTACTGCCATTACTTCCTGCAAGTATTGATATTTAGTCGGGACTTGTAACACTCCCAATTTCGTAGCTCTTGCTCTACACCCTTAAAATTAAGGGGACATTTGTTTTAAACTATTTTGGTGGATTTCATTGACAATTTTATCTGGTTCTGCTCATAGGGATGATCAAATCTGTAAGTAACGGATTTATAATTTGTAGAAATCTTTTGGGCCAAAAAACTAGAAAAAGAACTGTGGCCATGTATGGCCCAAAGGCCTAATGACAGTCCCAGTCTCACCTATGGTTACCTACCTGGGAATGTAAATAGCTAGTAGACTATATACAAAATAAGGTTTAATGCAAGGAAGAGAACCTATGTCGCACTAAATCTGCAGTAAAGAAACGTACACGGGACCAAACTATTACATCAAATGCCAAATCAGTAAAGATTGTTAAATAATTATCTACTTTAAAAATTTAAACTATTAAAGAGGGTATAATTTAAGTATTTATATTCCAAAAGATGGCAAGACCACCTAAAAGGAGAGGATCAATGCTGATACAAAGGGTACAAGAACTGGAACAAGTTCTGTCATCTTTTTTTTGCCAGTTGTCTTTTCGCATGAATCCGTCTGGCAAAGATTTGGATTTTTGTCCACTCTTGCATTGGGGGACATGATCAACATCTCAATCGGTGTATTAGTTTTCAATTAATAACCTTCGCAGCAGTACATGATTGCCATTGGTTTCTGAAATGTAAATGAAGATAACCAATAACAGAATGAATTTGTGGATTTGAAAGATTCACAAACCTCAACAATAATGTTTTATCCTTTATCCTTGACTCTTTGCTCTAGAGCCGGAGGGATGAAACCTGTAAGGTTGTTTCCCGTTAAATTACTATGCAAAACGGCAAGAAATGAATCAGATGGATATTGCAGAAGGAGATCAAGCACCAGAGTACATGTCAGGTACTCATAGCATATTTATTAATTGTTTTTTTTATCGGTACACTTGCAGCATATTTAGAAATGACAATAGCTCTAAAAATACTGGCAGTGGTCCACTCAAGTTGTTGTACGACAGATCCCTGAAATAAGAGGATCTTTTTTTTAAGTGTAGAAATTAATAAAGTACTATTTGTTCTAACTTTTGAGTGTTGTTGTTTCTGTTCTGTGATTTTTTCTATGGTGGTAGGAGCTACACGGATATGCCCTTCCAGAAATAAAGAGGGCAAGTGCAGACGGAATCACATATTTAGAGTAGTAAGGTGAAAGGAAGGGAGGGGGGGGGGGGTAAAGATCAAGGGTTTAACACATGAAATTTGATATAATCAAGTTATTTAACAATGTGGCCACTCCCATGTTCTCTTCATACGATGCCAACTGGCACCACCACTGGTGGTCGTTTTATATGACATAATAGACTATTTGAGTTCTTACTTTTCAAATAGTTTCTTGAGTTCTACGACGATGATCAAATGCAGTCATAAACGAAAAATCAATGTTTTTTCCACTGTACAACAATGGGAATTCGAACGTCAGTTATCCAAGTCATCACATGCGACACTTTGTCATTGTGATAGACCCACAATATCACAAAAATCATTATTTCAAAGATAATATCATGGTTGCATCTAACTAAAATTTTCTCTACTTCTATTTGCTAGTTCCAATGACAAAATGCCTCCAATGAATACCTAACCTTGTCATATGGCATGATATTAAGCCACACATTCACTATGGAGAGGTCCAAATTGGTCGATTTGACAGGCCTGCCAACACATTGTTCATCACCTCCATAAGAAGTATACCTGGATTTTTAAGTACTTACAAAGATTGTATTGATTTGAAATTGAAGAATACAGGCAAGATCTCCCCAGACAGTCCGCTTGAGCTCAAGTTCCTGTCCACAATTGTTCGAGTAAGAAATTATTTGAGCCATTCTTAATTACAGTTTAGGACTTCACACCAAGATACTCTTCAGTTTTTGGGCATTCGTTGGTTACTCAATTGGCGGAGTGATTCAATTGAATTCATTCCGCCTTATTCTTTGCTGTATTTTAGAAGATCCAATTCTGGAATCATTTCACCAAATAATTGGCTCAATAGTTAGGACTCTTTATCTTGTAAAGATTTTGCCTTGTTGAGATTAAAGGTTCAAGTCTCGCTCCCCCTCTCCAAAAAAATAATAATAATAATTTTAAAAAAAAATTCAATAGAATTACACTAAAATATAAGGAATTTATATTCAACGCAGTGAAAATAATGAAGTGGACCGTTTCAAATTTCAGCAGACATCTTATGAAACACTTTACGAATTTAGATGTGCACTCACAATGAGATGATCCTTGGAGGATTTTCATCGCTGCAATGCAAACCCCGCCATGTGTAATTGATTGGGAGACATGGGTCTCCTTGCCAATCTTTTTTCTCTGCTGCCACATTCTTCTTGATGTTCATGATGGCCTCAACTGTTGTTAACAAGGGTTAAGAAGGATCTCAAGACTCCAAACACAAATCTCAAAGAGAAAATAAATTGTCTTGCCCTTGCCCACCTTAGCGCCTACCTCCTCATCCGTCTTGGCGCCTGTTTTGCCAGTCTAGGTGCCCTATTAGTTTTGGTGCCGCTCGTTGCATCGCGCGTGCTCAGCTTGTCTCCTCGCATTTAGAGCTTTCTCCTCAGGCGCTCTCGTTTCCCGTGCCCGACACCCAGGCTCCGCTAGCGTTGTACCTCCCGCGCAGAGCCTCACTGTCGGCACCGACACATGTCTCCTGCCGCCGGCGACCTCTGGCTACCCTCACTCTCATCTCCCTCCCCTTCGACTCTTGGGAGAAAGGCTCCCGAGTGGCCAAAAGTTCTACCTGACTTTGCTTCTGCTCTCACGCTAACAGTCTAAGTCTCTAGCTTAGCTGCTCCCTTGTGAGTCACTAGAAGCTCAACCTAACTCTGCATCTACTTTTACGCAAATAACTTCAGTTTTCAGCTTAGCAGCTCTCTCGCAAGTCGTTAGAAGCTCGGTCTAACTCTGCCTCTGCTCTCACTCAAGCACCCTAAGTCTCTAGCTTAGCGGCTCTCTCTCAAGTCGCCAGAACCTTGACCTAATTCTGTTTTTGCTCTCACGCAAACAACCTTAGTCTCCAGCTTAGTTACTCTCTCGTGAATCAATAGCAACTCGTCATAACTCTGTCTTTGCTCTCACACAAGCAGTCTTAATCTCCAAAAACTTGACCTTAGGAGGTGCAACTCTCTTGTGAGCTACCCACAACTCCTCTATAGCCCCGTCATGTCTACCTCTCCCTCATCAGAGTTCAACTGCTAAAAGAGAACAAGGACAAGATTTTTTACTGATGTCCTCTCCCCCAAATGATAGGTCCAACCCAAACCAGACCTAGAATTATAGACCACACCTAATTTAGAAATATGGACCAAGCCCACCACAAGATGGGGAACATAGGTCAGGTCAATCGCACCATCTTGAGAGAGTCAGGTTAGCCACGTTATGATGAGAGATTCAGTCCACAACTGAAATGCGATGAGATCTCTTTGGAATGTGCACGTCACCACATCCATGGAGTTGTTTCATCTGTTACGAGAATGACGTCACTTCCACCGAACTACTTTATCTGATACAAGAAATGTGCCTCAATCTGTTAGAAAACGCCTTTAAATTATAAGCTCCACCTATACAAGGGGGACATCTCTCATGTACCACTCACATCTGAGCACTCTACACCCGTTGAGCAATAAAATACTGAGGTTATCCTAACTCTACAGTAGGTCATTCAGGTCGAACCACTTAAATTATGTTTTGTTTGTGTTGACTCTCATTATTTATTACTGCATTTAATACTTGACAGGTGGTGCATAAACATCATTTTGTGCATTATCACCATCATTAAGTCAAATTTTTAAATTTATATAACATTACTCAATTTAAAATTATGTTACCGAAACCAATAAAAAATTGACATAATATTGCAGATGGAAAGACTATACAATTACTAGTGATTCTTGTAAGAGACCTTTTGACTTACTCAATATGTGTAGCTCACGTGTGATTATTTACATTATATTGACGAGTTTGGAAAAAATGTGTTTAGAATAATTATTCGTTATTCAAAGCAGAAAGAAATTTATAACCATAAAGTCACCGGTTACTTAGCTTGTGGAGAGCATCCCATTTAAAACCCACCATTGGGCTGGCTGAAAAGGACTGAAGGTTTAATATTCAAAGGAGTGACTGACCCAGAGCTCTAGCCCCAAGCTCACGAAAAACGGAAGCTACAAGACCCAAAGAGCAGATGAAGACCCATTCATTGTGGAATTAAAACAAGAAAAACAAAGGAACTGAAAAGGAGTAGAAATTAAGGCTAATAAATCAATCAACCTAATATACGAGTGATTGAGGCAAAGAACGGAATTAGGATTTTATCACGAGAAGAGTTAAATAAAATAGTTACATAGTTAAAAATTTATTCTACGAAATAATTGAACAAGTTATTTTTAATGCCAATTTTTGCTTTTATTAGAATTTATAAAATTGCAAAAATTAGTTTAGGACATAAAATCTAAAATTGATTTTTTTTAAAGAAATAAAATTTTATTGAATGAATCAGAAATAAAATTTTGTTGTAAAAATCCCATTTACAACAAATGTATGGCTTTAATCCTACACAAAAACCAAAAAACCTATTTCAGTGTATTCAAGTATCACAAAGCTTCCAGCCATCTTACTCAAGGATTCTTATAAAATTAATTTATGACAATGTTATGGTTTATTTATTCTTCCTTTCATTACATAATACAATGACTATGAATAAATTGTTGTCGTAAATATTACTTTTACGTGATACTATTATAAAAATTAATTATTATGATATATAGCTTTGCCCTTCTTCTTTTTT